TGAAGACTGAATATTGAATCACATTGTATAAAACACATATTTTGCGAGAAAACTAAAATAGAGCATGCAAAGAATAAAAAATACCTTCTATAAAAATATCTTCTTTCTCCTCTCTTCCGATCAAATCAATCTACGATCTAATCTACACATCCGTCCTAATGAACTGAGGATACTGATGCTGGCAATCTATTGACTCTACCGAGAGGCCGTACTTGATGAGACTCCCTGATTGGTTGGGCCTTGGCGATCGTGACGTCACAGCCAATGGAACGCAACGCGGGATGTCACGTGGTCTTCGAAAAGCGCGGGCTCGGCCGCGATGTAAACTGAAAAAAAAGTTTCGACTAATTTTTCTCAAAATACGAAGCACGATGATTTTTCCGCGATAAATTTACTTCGATTGAATATATTATGCGATAAGAAACGAACTCGAGGGACGACAGAAATGTAAGTATCTTTAGCAAAATGCAGTATCTCAAGCGACCAATAGGAACGTTCGGCCCGAATAATGTGCTTCGCATATCTTTTTTCTTCTTATAGAGCATGGAGAAAACAATAACAGAAGGGATATCCCCTTCGACTAAGCAGACTCGGTGGGGGAACGGAAACGCCATATTGGTTAGGCTAACCAATCCATTTTTTTGTCCATTTTTTAATTTAATTTTATTTGATTACTTTTCTATTTTTTCAATGGAATTGATAATCAAATTTCTCTCATTTTTTTAGACAAAATTTTTGAGGAAAATTACGCTCGCTGTTTTGATTGGTAAATTAAACGCGCATCTTGAAGTTAGACAGCTGACATTCTCATCTTCTGAAATTTTTATGATCTATGGCGTAAAATGATGCGCGCTATTGTCGTATATGGTTATACACCTCTACATGTGTTTTGCATTATTTTGCATGTTTTTATACATCACGACGTTGTTTCCTCTCGTGTCTCGTAATACCTCTTTTTCGATAAATCGCGGAAATTAATATCCCTCGAAGGATTGTCCGTGGAATATTCTGATCCTCGCGAGGCAGCTGCGAAATATCGTCGAATTGATGAACGAGATGAGAAACAATCGCGAGCTACGCCGGTGGACACTTTGTTTTGCGACAACTGTCATCCTTCGGTAAACACACGTGATTACGAAAGAGAGTCAAGGTATTGTGACATCTGGTATCAGTATTTATGATACATATTAAATAAACAGCGAACTGATTTGTTTACTTGACCGTTACATCAAAGAAATTTTCTTGCGGATTAGATTATGACACTTACGAATGTTTAATATATATTTATATAAACGCGAAGAGAGAAACTAAACGATTACGAGCATTTGCGCTCTTTGTAATGTATACTATTATTTATAAATATATCGTTAATTTATGTAATATATAATTATGTATATAATATTATTTAAGCATATTTATACATATTAAATAAAACATTAATGAAAATTTTGTGTAGGAGGAGATATTCACGATGAACGAGAACGAAAATACGAAGAAGCAACTTACACACAACACACATCCGAATCTTTCGAATGAGAACCTGTTCCATGCTGTGTATGTTCCACCAGAATACAAAGATTGGCCAGATGAAAATGGTAATTGATACAGTATTGACTTACTAATTATAATTTTATAGAATAAAGCTCTCTCTTGTGTAAATCTATTAAATATTGATTTTGTCAAAAAAAAAAACATTAATTTGTGCTGTTTTATATTAGGCAAATTTAATTATTAATATTGTTAAATATCACTTCCTTTGCAGAAGTCTTTCATATTTATCCAGACATGCAATCTGCTTTAAAAGTTATACAAACTTACAAGAAGGGTCGTTTGAAAATCTTTAAAAATTATTTTGATGCTGTGGGATATGTAAAGACTGGATATGAACAACCTTCTGGCAATTTTTCTACAATTTCTACTAGTGTGTCGCAAGAAAAATCTAGTAATTTTAAAGCACCAGAAACGCAGGAGCTTCAGGCCTTTAAAAGATTAATTAAGGATGGGGATTTGGAATGTGTGAAGAAGACTGTATGGAAAAATCCGAGATATCTAATCAGTAGTGGAGATACACCTGCAATTTTACAGGCAAATATATACTTACAATGATATTTTTAAATTTAATTGTGCAATTAGATAATTGTGCATTATAAATATACATTGAAGCAAATTCACAATTATAATTACTTGTATAATTTTTATGGTTATAATAGATTAAAATTTCAGAATTATTCTTTAATTACTTATATAATAAATCTTATATATTTTCTTATAGGAAACAACTTTGTTATGTTTTAGATGGGTTCTCGTTATAATGCTCTGCATATAGCAGCAAACAAGAACAAGCCAGAAATGTGTGAATTTATATTGAATACTGTTGGAGATCCTAAGTTTATGCAATGGCATTATGGGGAAGACGAATGCAAAACTTATGTGAACCCTGCACAGATTATGCAGGATTTATATTTAAATACACCTGACAAAGGACTCAATGAGACTCCGTTACATTTTGCTGTTAAATACGGTTATAAAGACGTAGTTCGGGTTCTCGTCTCTTATTCTCAATGCATTAAAACTTTGCCAAATAAATATAATCAGCTACCTGTAGATGTATGTTGATAAATTTATTTTTGTTTAATATGTGTGTGTGTGTGTTGTTGTCTGCATATGTAATAATTTGATTTTAGATTATATGTAGCAGGAAGCATCAAGAAGATGAAGAGCTAAAATGTAAGATACGTTTGCTGCTGGAAGATCAGTTTTATGTACCTGTATTAAGAGCTGAAGGCAACACCTGTCCACCTGTCATTGGTGAACCATTTTCACCGACTAGTCCACTTGTGAGTGTAAATTTTATATCACTTTTACTATTATAACATATTTCATTATGTGTGTATATTTTAATGTGATTATGAGTCATATTTCTATTATTTTCAGAGTTTGAATAGAGATCCCATTAGCCCACGTGTAGAAGTAAGGGCGTTTGCAGGTCCAATGACTAAATCACAGGCAGTGGAATTCCGGAAAAAATGGAAAACACCTCCACGTGTTATTACCCCTAAGAAAGGACAGGGTGATGCATTTAGTATTGTAAATAGTCCTAGTTTAGCTCTGAGACTGCAAGATACAGAAAAAGGGTTGGAACGCGTTGGAAGGTATAAATTAATATAAAATAAATCATATTCAAATTATTAATTGTTATTACTATGTTTTTAAAGTTGATATTACTTGCAATATGTATTTGTAGATACTTTTTTTTTAATTTTACAAGTTATATGAATTTATAATTATTTTAACAATTGATGTAATTTTTGTATTATTTAAAATATTCTGTCTTGTATAGATTTGATTACAGTCTTTTTCTCTCTAAATCTTATTTATTATAATATTATTCCTTTTTATATTTTTGTAAATCTAATATTTTTTTCTTAGAGAACTTGCTGAGGAATGTCAAGTGCCTTGGAAGGAATACTGGCTATTTTTACAAGATTTCGTCGATTTTCGGAGTGAGGAAGGATTGGCGAAACTCGAAAGCTATTTAGAGCAAAGATTTGAAAATAAGGAGCCATTACTTTACTCTATGGTATAAAACATTGAGTAGCTTCACTCTTTCAATGTTTTATATAGTCAATTTTTTTAAATGTTTCTGTTCTTTCAGAAAAATCGGACTAATAATGCGAATACAAATACGTCATCAAATTGCCAACAAATGTCAGAAAAGACAATTGTTGACAAAGTACAAGATTTGTGTGATAAATTATGCTCAGGCTTATTAGATGCTACAGCTGATGAAGAAGAAGATAACACAGGTATTTATTATTTGTGATATGATATTCTTTATAATCTATAAAATATCTCATTATTAAACCATGATTTTATTATGATAAAGATTAGAGCACTAATCATTTAATTTTATTTCATAGATAGCTCAGAATATTTTACACCTCCATCTTCACCAGAACTCATTGAGGATGATTCTGATGTTGATATGCAGAATGCTGAAGAAGGTTCTATAATATTTATTGAAGGGTAAACTATTTTTCGTTATTATTATTGTAACGATATATAGTAAAGATATATTTTAAACAATATTTTTATGTATAATACTAATAATATTCTTTAGGTCTTCACCAACAAATTAGATATGCTGTCTATATGCGGTTTTTATCTACCATTGATCCTGATACGTATCCCTATATTTATCGTTGGCGGCATGATATGCAGCTGGCTATGCAACGTGATCCACATAGGTAAATCATATATCTTTAAATTTTTAACTTGTTTTTTATTTTAAATAATTCATTAATAATGATAAATAACGCGCGTTTTACTACTATTAGTTTTCTTTTTAATTTGGCAGATTTAACAATAAAAATTGCTCGGAAAGAAACTGTTCACCAACAATTAAATAATAAAAGGAATTACATCGACAATCTAGCTGACCTTTCGATTATATAGCATTGGCTTCTTCCCAGATTACAACCTTACATAATATAAGGAAAGAAAATTAGTTCATCTTGAGTTAGAGCTAATTAATGCCAATGTAATTAACCATAGAAAATCTCAACTATATATTAAGGACGCCCGTAAAATTGTATAAACCTTTTTTTATATAATGTTGTTGCAGAAACAGACTCTATATTGTAAGAAAAGTTAAGAAAGAAGGATATATTTTGAGATGTTTTTACAAAAGACTTGTAACTTGAAACTTTCGCGATTAAACTTTTTAAAACTTAGCGTATACATCTTTTTAATGTTCATCGTTCTTTGCAGTTACAATAAATACTCACTTATTGACAAATGCGTTTACCGATGTGAATCTTCCTTTGTTGTATCTTACATTAGAAAATACACGTTTTTCATTATTATTGCATTTGTTATCAATAATCTTTATTATTCATAATATAATATTACATATTTTATTTTTAACAGAACATTATGAGTTTTTCTTTTTCGTTATATAACGAAGCATAATCACATGATTTATGTATTATTTTTTTTTCTTAATCATTTTCTCAATTATTTCTTTATCATAATTCATATCTTTAGTGTCTAACAGCTCCTTCAATTTAATTAAGCGTTAATGGGAGTGGGCGGTGTCTGTTTTAATTGTAAGATAATCGAGCGCATCCGAGAGACGTCCTTGGAAGTGCGGGATGATTTTGGATTAAATTCACAAAGCTTGGCATGCGTTCCCATTCAGTGCCTGGTTCAACCTCATCTGCCTCTGCAACGAATTGCTTCTCCGCGTTCCTATTTGAAAGAATAAGCATTACATCAAATGTCAAATCACGTATCGTGTATCAGTTAGTAATATAATGAAACAAAAGTTAAATGATAGGATGTATTTTATCTCAGTTGATTCAGAACAAAAGAAAAACAAATTTATGTATATATTGTATGTACTTTAATAATATACGATGTAGATACAGATGTGTAATATCTGTATAGATAAACTCGATGCAAATTATTTATCACGGTTCTTTCATAATGCTCAGTTGATTCAACAATTTATTTCTTTTCCTTGCTTGAAAATATAGTTTTTAATGTGATTGTGAGATGATTGACAAACATTCAAGGATTAACAAGTGTATTTAGATAAATATTTCAGTCAATGTATGCAAGTATTTCAAGTATTGTAAAGCAAAAATAATCTTGAGAAGAACTTCATCAATGTTGTTTAGCAACAATCTTACAGCAATGTATTAAGAAGCAATACTGCGATAATTGAGAAAGAAAAAGAAGAGAAATGTGCTCTTATATTTCAGATTCACATTCTGAACAATCAGTGTCGGGGTTTTTAAGTTGTGAAAGCAAGTTGTGTTACAATGCAATAAGTCATTATGCATGTTTTTTCATGCAGATAAAGATATTTTAACTTACTTGGCCGACTCCCTAAGAAGCGAAATAAAAATAATACAATTATATATACATTCAAAACTTTAAAAGTTATTTATAACATATTGAATTATTGATATTAATTGAATAAATTAATATAATATTTTATTTTTTGCAATTTTGCAACTTCAAACGTATATACATTTTTAATTTTTTGTTTTTTTAATGTAATATTATTATCTGGTAAAATATTCGTGCTATATAATTATTTAATTTTTGATAGATGATAACAATAAACAATCACATTTGATGTTCAGTTTTAGCTTGCCAATTCTTCACGGAATATATATACAAGATAAATATATACAAGGAAGATAAAAAAAAATTAGAAAATAGTATAATTACCTGTTAGTAGTTTTCGTTTTATTAATGGCTTCTGCGTGATGTTTATACCATTCTTCCAACTCTTTTTTTGCAGCTTCTCTCCATTCTTCCTTTTCTTTTCCTCTTCGGCATCTAAAACATTTCCATTCAATGTTATTCTATGTTATTCTCATAAAACAATCATAACACAAATATTTTGAAGTTTATATTTAACTTTCAATACCTTTCTCTCAAGACTTGCTTTCTGTTCTTCTCTCCATTTTTTAATCTTCTCAGGTTCTCTTTGATCGGTGTAGGGTACAGGTGGATTCTTGTATATAAACGAATTCACAAACTCTTCTTTAAAATGCAATGAAAGATTTAAAAATATTTTTATCCCTGTTGA